GGCAGGCAACCGTTCCTTGGTTATATCCTTTCCACTGTTACCATTACAGAATGCATATACCTATTCAAGTGAATACATTGAAACAAAACACAATCACTTTTGTTTCTATACCGAATATATAACAGTGCTTTAAATATAGGCATAGAAAAGGTTTAAGCACACACATTCCACTTCTTTCTTTTTCCTGACATCTACTTAAAATTTGAAACACAACCACGTTATTCATTCTCAAGCATTTTTCCCCTCAACTCTTTCAAGGAAAATACTTATGACCCTTTAAGATGCTGATCATAGGTTTCCTTAAGCCAATAGTTCTGTGTCCTATAATATATTATGCATATTATAATCGCCTCATTGCAGTCTGGACTCTTCAGAACACAGGGACCCACTCTGCTTATCTTAGCATTCTCATGGGTTGTCATTGCCTGACCCAAAACTTGTCCCTTCTTTCCCATGAAGTTATTTTATGGAATATCTTGATAGTACAATAAAAACACGAGTAACCGAGTCAAGTTTATTTTTGTAGGTACTTTCAAATGGCTGAGTAAATGATTACTTTGTTTCCATTTCCCTTCTGTGGAATTTTGGGTTTATTTTCACACAGAAATACTCTAGCATCACACCACATAGTCATCTTGTTAAGATCTGGGATAACAGAGTCTTAGAGCTACAATGTTGTTGGAAGGGCACATGAGATGCTCTGTAATAGACAGCACACCAATAGGCACCCACATTCAGGAAGAGCACATCCTGGAAAGCTGGGCAGCCTGGTTTGCGGCATTGGGATGCTGAAAACTGAAAAGTACATTGGCTCAGAAACTAATTTGCAATTACTGACCTCAGAGGAAGCACTCCTAAAAATTTCATTTGTTAGAAAAGATGTAGCTGGGGATTGAAAGAGCACCCTTGAGTCTTTGTAAATGAGAAGTAGAAGCATTACTTCAAATGCTTTGTTTTGTTCCACTGAAAAGAAGAAAGTGAACCAACAGAATGCTTGCTTAAATTCCATGCTAGCTGTTAAAGAAAAAATATAAAAGAATTATGACAGACAGGCATTACAAAAGGGACAGCAGGGACAAAATAATGTTACCCAGGAGACCAGTCACCAGATGGGACACCTGGACCATGGCTCTGAATCTCCGTGTATGTAGAGTGAGGTTTAGTGTGGGTACTATAATTACTTTTTATTTTTATCACCGGCTTTAAATGATTATATTCACTTTAACAATGACAGGTTTTCTCACAGTGACCTCCTATTCCGACCACTTAACTCAGTGGCTATGCCATCTGAATTTGCCATTGGTCATTGTCAAAATGGCCTTGTTTGTGCCTCAGTCATTCATTATACTTCCCATACAACCAAAGAGTAAGCTAAGACATCCATGTGAGATTTGGATGGCCAGTTCTCTTTACCCTAACACACTGCCACTGGTGTTACAAAATGTAACAAAGAAATACTCATTCAGTGCCAGAAATCCTCCCAGAAATCAAACAAAACTCCCAAGCATGTGGTTCACTCAACTCTATAGGAATTGTGGATATACTATTTTTAATCTTGGTTCAGTGTAGAGTAGTAGAAAACAGTGTTATTTTCAAGGAGATAGTCAAGGCCTGAAGGGGTCCTTCCTGTTCTGTATTTCTTTACTAGTGGAGTTTCAAGCCATTTATAGATTTAGTAGTGGGCACCACTTTTTGTGTGGCTGTATGTCCATATCTTTCTCTATGCTCATCTTATTCTTCCAGATCTAGGAAGTACCACATATTTAAAAATTCCAAATAACTTATATTCTTGATTCCATTTCTCCCACTCTTAGCATCCCATCTCTTTTAACATACTGCCAGAAGCCATAAAGAGTTTCACATAATATATATCTACCACTCACTTTGCTTCATTTTCATGGACAAATAGAGTTTTCAGGCAAGGATTCTCAAAGGGTCATTAGCTCTCCCCTGGGACTTCTTAGAAAGGCAAACATTTGGTTCTACCTAAGCTTCAGACCTAATGAATCATACTCAGGGGATGAGCCTCACTTTCTAGAGTTTATGAACCTACAGATGGCTCCAACAAACAGTGATATTGAGGGGTGATTAGCTCTCCACTCATTCTGCTCTGAAAAATGCAAAAAGACTTTTACATGGTTTTTCTGCTCCTACTCTTTCCACCTCCAATTCATTATTTGCCCAGCAATCAGTAATTAAGAGAAAGAGAGAGACACACACAGAGAAAGAGAGAGAGCAAGAGGGAGGGAGACAGACAGACAGAGAGAGAGAGAGAGAGAGAGAGAATAGGTAAAATCACTCTAGCATTGTTCATCAGGAGATGTCTAACTTGTTCTTTGAGACAGTCTCTCTCATTAGAACCTGTGTTCATCAAATATACTAGTCTGTGTGGCCAATGTGTCATAGGGATGCCCCTGTCTCTGCTGTTCCAGCACTGAGATTACAGCACATGCCTCACATCCATTTTTTTTAAAGGTAGGGGCTAGGGACTGAACTCAGGACCTTGTATTTGTGCAACTAGTACTTTATCCACTGAGCTATCTTTCTAGTGTCTCAAAGTGATGTTTATTTTTAAATTTTTAAAATAAACCAATTTTTAAAAATTTTGTTTCTACATAGTTACACCTTTCCTTAATTTGAAGTAGATTTTAAATTATCTGAGGAATAAAATTAAGTGGTTTTCCCATGATGTACAGGAAACTGCATTAATATGACTGCATGTTAGTGCCATACCTCTTACGGCTTCTTCCTTATTTTCTCATGGTTCACTATCTCTGGCTAAGCCTTTTGACCCGCCACCACTCATATTTTTCACAATGGTAGATTCCCATCCCTCAGATCCCTCCCTTCCCATTTTCACTGCCCTGTTTCCCATCACCTCTCAACCACACATTGTAATTTCTGCATGCATGTTTGTTCTATTGTGTACCTTATAGCTGTATGCTAGGTGTGAGATGTGGGGTTGCCTTTGTTTATCTCCACTGTGTAACTCTCATGGTACCTATCATAGGAAGGATATGTAAGGAAAAAAAAACAATAACAACTTGCTGATTGGAAAATTACATACAATTATTATGAGGGATGGTATCAATTAAAACAAAATGAGCTTGCTTAAGGATTCCCAGATTACACTCTGGTATGTAAGGGGCAAGTGGGCATTCTTATGGACATGGAAAAGTCACACCTACTCGAAACTTAGCATTGGTGCTGAAGTGTATCCTGAGAAACACTAAGGAACAAATTTAATTTCCTCTCTAATATATAGTCATAATTTCTGCATAAGCCAAATTGCTGCAAGTCTTGACTATTAGGCATATGCCTTTAAACTTGGATGACTGAATTTGTACCACAGGGATACTAAAAAACAATTAGGCAGGAAACAGTGCTTTGATTTTTATTATTATTATTATTATTATTATTACTATTTAGGATTTTGTGGCACAAGTCTCACTATCGTATCCCAGGCTAGCCTCAGACTGTCTACTAGTCTCAGACTCCCTAGTCACTAGTCACAATTTCCAAAATCAAACTTGATTCTAGCTTTTTATCATTAAGTTCTAAATTTAACCTTCTGAAAGGCTTTTTCCTTTAAATTTTTTTTTAATATAAGTTTGGTGTGTCTTGGATTTGGCCTAATTTCAGCCGCTTTCTTTACTCTTGCCCTTAGCCATGACTGGTTTCTGCTAACTGGCTCCATCATTCTCAGACACCAGAACGTAGTCATTTGGGTGGCACTCCTCAAAGGAAAGAGAACAGACAAGTGTAAGTGAAGTCAGCACAGGGCAATGTGTGCGTCAGATAACTGGTCAGCAGTATTTTGACCAGTTCCTAGATCTAGCTGTCATACTCCACCCTTTCACCTCAAGTTATCTATTATTTTTATTTCTGACTGTGAGTTTCCTACACATTTCAAACTTAACTTGACTTCTCTTCCTGAATGATCACATTTGTGCTAATCATAACACCAAAAAAGAGATATACCTTGGGTGTGTCAGCCTCTTTTTTCATTAATTGCTACAGTGTCTCTGAGGTTCAGACTGGGGAAAGCCACAGGCATATACCCTCTTTTAATGAGATACAGAATTAATTATCTGTGATGGTAACTATGATGATCAACTTTATATGTTAATGTTATATGTTATATGTTAATATGATTGAACTACAGAACATACATGTATTCAGCAAAATATAATTCTGTGGATACCTTCAAAGCTATTTCTAGATAAATTTAATATCTGAGTCAGAGACTAAGTAAAGCAGATTATCCTTCTCACAGTCCTCCCTACCCCAAGCTTGCATGTGTCTCAGCCAATCCAGTTAAGGACCAAAGAGGACATAAAGATGGAGTAAGAGTGACTGTGTTCTCTTTTAAGAGGGACATTGACAAGCAAGCAGCTGCTCAGTTAAGGACACACTGTATAGAAAAATAGAAATGTTACACAAAGGTATTGTTAAGAGGTAATTCTGAACACAAAAGCTTAAAATGGAATGATAAAATCATAAAAAAATTATTACTATCAAATGAAAAAGGAAGAGAGAGGTATTGGTCTCCTTAACAAATAAGCTTTTAAAATGTAACTCATTAGAAATATGAGTAAGATTCAATGAAGGATTTCACAGAATTAAAAACTAGTATACAAACTCAATGCTAGGCCATCAAGCTGTCTCAGCAGTTATAAGGAATTTGCTGCCAATCTTGAATGCTTGAGTTTGACCTTAGAAACTCACATGGTAAATAGAGAGAGTTGAGTCCTTCAATTTGCCATCTGACCTCGACATGCATGCCTCCCCTCAATCAAACCCAATACACACAATTATTGTCATCATTACCATCATTACTACAGTATTTGTGGGTGGATGGGTTATCACAGAGCCTGGAACAAATTGCAAGTTCCATTTATATGTGCATAAACACATAAACAGGAAACAAATATCTATTTGACAAATTAATACCCCAATTATTATCATACCAGGAAAAGAGAGGAACAATCAGAACTCACATTGAGCTGAAGTTCATCTGTCCACTGCCCAATGAGACGATAACCAGGGTTGGAGGTGTTTGTTGTCTGGTACTGGAAGATATCATACCGCCCAGGGGCATCCCCATTTTTGTTAAACATCACTGGGGTGCCAGCACTACCTGAAGGACACAAGAAAATGCCAGAATGAAGCAAGATTCCTTCCATCTTCTGAGTGATGAAGTTCAGAGCTAACTGTATTCCTAGTAATATGGTCTCTAATGTTCTCTCCAGCTAATGGCAGGTCATCTCTACAGTGTCTGCACTATGGTAACAGAATGTTGGGAGAAAACATCTCTGTTCCTTTGCATGGCTCTATTCTTGATCTTTCTGAAGATTTTTTCTAAAGCTTTCTCATAAGCAAAAATCAATCCATGAATTAATTTTCAGAGACAAAAATATGTTTTAACACAATGCTGCTGCTAGATGTGATTGCAATATTCATGATGGCTATTTTGTTTTGTACTTCACATTAAATTGAAATTAATAAAGAGTAAGTTCAAAAATAGTAATTGTTAAAATTGATACATCATTACAAATAACCAAAATAATTCACTTAAATGTATGTTTCTCCCCTGACTGAATTTAAGTACTTCTTATATTGATTATTTCTAATTTAGAGAGAGCATGTAGGAAGTAAATGCCAAACAGTGTGCCTGGAAGATAGTCCATAAACATTATTTTCATCTTCAAGCCTTACTTAATTAGGTCTTGTTAAAAGGTACACTTTTGATGAAAAGTGAGATGTTTCAGCAAGTGAGAACATCTGTTGAGCAAATCTGAGAACACGGATTCAAATTCTCAGCACCTCTCCTTCTGTAGTAAAAGAACTGAAATATCAATTTATTCAATTAGGCAGGTGTTTCACATTTATATTTTGATGCACATACAAAAGTGAGCTTGTAAAATTGTGTCATTGTCTGATGCTTGTAATAACTTTGCTATTGGAAACAGAGACAGAAGGGTCTCCTGAACTTTCTGGCTGCCAGCCTCGCTCCAGGTTCAGTAAGAAAGCATTTTTAAAGGAAATGTGAGAGATAAGGCTGTGAGTGGTAGAGGACACCTTATTAGGCACATGAATACCGGACACTAAGAACAAACCCACATCCAGAAAGAGAGATTCTATATTGGGTTTTAAGAGCTATATGAACTGTGTCATCTTACTGAATGATACAACATCATAGCTAGGACAAAGGAACATCTATGGTACATATCTTCTTGTAGTTACGAATTACAGATTTTATGATAGATCTGAATTTCAGAAAAGAAAATCATAGCTTGTGATGGGATGCAAAATGGTCCCAATATGCCTGTTCTGTAATGATGTGACAGAGTTCATGGCCTTAACATGTATAGAAATTCCTGTATAATGTGACTTGGTCCAATTTTCTTACACCAGTCTAACTAAAATAGACACAAAAGGAGCCAAAAGCAGTGTATGTGTGGGTGTATATGTGTCTTATGACAAAAGTAGGTGTGTTTGGAGACATTCATTACAACTGAAATGGGTTATAGAATCTATGAAACAATAGGGAATAGATTTTTATTCAGTCTTCAGAAGGATAATAGACTTGCCTTCACCATTATAGGGGTCCTGGGAAATCTATGGTGGTCTTCCATATTGAAGATATATGAGCTAGTCCATGTTGTGATGGCTAACTTGTTGGTAACTTTGAAACACCTGGGAAGAAGGAGCCTCAATTGAGAGTGTATTTCATCAGATTGGCCTATGGGTCATTTTCTTGATGGCTAATTAACCTAGGAGATACCATCACTAGACAGGGTTATCTAGCCCTGTATAAGAAAGATAGTTTAATGTAAGCCAGAAATCAAGCCATTAAGCAGTATTCCTAAGTGGTAGTCTCTGCTTCAGTTCCTGCCTCCAGATTCCTGTCTTTATCTCTCACTCTGGAGTCTTTCCGTGATGTCTGTGACCTATTAGCTGAAATAAACCTTTTCTTCCTCTGAGCTGTGTTGTGGACATGGTAATCATCACTTGGGCAACAGAAAGCCAAAGTAAGGCACATGTGCATTGTTTAAGACATTAGATTGTGGTTATATTTAGAGGTGTGTGTGTGGGGGGGTGATTAGGTAGGAATTAAAAACACAGCTGGAGGACACAGAACACCAACCTTCCTCATCTTACAGTTAAGAAATTTCTTAAATTCAGGTGGGAAACTTTTCTTGTCTGTGACACAGATAATGCCACCAGATAGCACAGATAATTAAACCAAAATAATACCTAGTAAAAGGTTTTTGAATTTTTGAGACAGATTTATATTACAGTTTGATCTCGCAGTATCTGTGTGACTTGAGTAAATTATTTGAATTTAGCCAACTGTCTGCCACTGTGATGCCTTTCCATAGGGTTAGTGTGCATACTGAATGCAATAACCTAACAGTGTGCACACTCCTGCCTGTGCCCTCAGGTAACAGTCACCCCATAGTAATGCTTTTTTAAAATGAGATCTGTGAATGTGAGTGTTTGTGTGACTCTATGCCACATGTACAGGTATGTGTGGAAGGCAGAAGAGTGGGTTGGTCCCCCTGGAGCTGTAGTTTCTGACAGTTGTCTGTCACCCAGTATTGGTGCTGGAAACTTTACTCTGCTCCCCTGCCCCTGAAAGAGCAGTAGTCACTCATAACTGCTGGAGCATCAATCTAGTTGTTTAATGATTTTGAATAGTGTTTATGTTGTCAGTGTTTATTTCCTTATTGTTTGAAGACCAGAAATAACTTATAGATTTGGTTAGGCAGACAGAAGCTTTTTAGTGCACTTGTGTTGCTCTTTTGAGATCCAATTAAATTTTTTCCCATTTCTATAAACATTTTCTATTTACCAAACAGCAGTATAGCAATATATTGTCCTTAGTGGGAGTGGGCACCAGAAGTCTGTGAATATTGCTCAGATCCCACCAATTTGAGGCAGTGGTTGGTTTGTGGTGAAAGAAATAATTTCAATTTGCTGCTTCTATGCTTTGTCAAGAAAAAATCACCAGATTTAAAAACACTTCATCACAATTCTTTTTAAAAATATTCTTTGAAACCAGGCGGTAGTGTCACATGCCTTTAGTTCCAGCACTCGGGAGGCAGAGACAGGCAGATCTCTGTGAGTTTGAGACCAGCCTGGTCTACAAGAGTTAGTTCCAGGAGAGGCTCCAAAGCTACACAGAGAAACCCTGTTTCGAAAACAAAACAAAACAAACAAAAATATTCTTTGAAATTATAATATAATCATATCATTCTATCTTTAGCCTTTCCCATACTCCCTAACTTCCTAACTTGTTCTCTCTCTCTGTCTCTAATTCATATCCTTGTCCCCATTTTATTGTTGTGACATATAGCTTTCTGGGTTACACAAAGCGTGTGTAACAAATGATACAACAAATGACAAATGATACAACAGAATTTTCAACAATGGTGTCATGCTTTTTAGCAAATATTCCAGGTATGTAAGGACAATAGATGAAATGTGATGTTGCATGTCATTAGGGAGAAATGTGGAAATGTGAGTCCTGTCACTGAGCAGCAAGATATTGCTATTCATATGCCCAGTCTTTCTCTCACTTGGGATGCTTGGACTCATTTTGTGCTTTATTTTTATACAGCATTTTCTAGTCATTAAATTGCATGGCTGGGGCCATTCACACTTTGTGATCAGATAGAAAGAACATCTGAGACCCAGAGCTCCAAGCACTCTCATGTTCACTGGCTCAGGCTTCATCAGAACAGGACACATGGACTAATCTTTCTCCCTTCTCAAAATCTACATGAGGGAAAATGATTCTTGTCATGCCTCTTCCATTCCTATTAAAGTTCATGTTCAAAATTATAGTAGAGGAGATGAAAACTTTATCTAAATGATGATTTCTAATAGTGTATTTTGTACCTCTGACCTTCTGAGTCTATTCTTTAATGAAATGGGCTTATTATTCCCGGAGTGTTTTTTTTTAAATTTTTTAATTTTTTTATTCTTTTTCCATTTTTACATTTCCCTTTAAAAGTACCTACTCATGGACTCATTAAAAGGGAAAATAGGCAAGAGACTTTGAGAACAGAAAAAAGAAAAGAAAGAAAGAAAGAAGTCCAGAGAAAAGGAAAGAAGATATCAGAGTGGTGATTGCCTGCAGAGATCTGTAAGGTGTGAGGGACAGAATGCTGGAACTCTAAGTAAAAGAACTAGGGCTACCAGCCAAGATAGGCCGTGTTATAGCCCATGAAAGCACAGTCACAGACAGGGCTGGCACAGAATTACCCTTCATAACTTCATTGTGAACTACGGGATTATATATTTTATTTTTAAATTTTTATGTTTGATATACAGACAGACCGAGAGAGAGAGAGAGAGAGAGAGAGAGAGAGAGAGAGAGAGAAAGAAGCCCACTTAGAACTCAACTTCAATTTATACTTTAGAAATTCTATAACATCCTTTCAAACTAGTCACAAACAGATTCAGATAAAGTGAACATGCGTCTCATGTACCTAGATAGGAAAGCAAAATAATTGATATTTTCTGTTTTTATAATATACACCTAACTTCCATTTCTTTCCTAGAAATCAGTAAATCTAGCTATAGGCATATTCCTGAATAAATTATCTAGTTATACAGAGATTATTTCAGAATTTTATATACCAGATTGTTTTAAGTTACATTAGGAAATTATTCTATTAGCCCAATTAGTCAGGGTGGACACAATTAGAATGCATTTGCACTCAGGTGTCTGCATGTATTTGTGATGCAAAAAAAAAAAAAAAAAAGAAAAGAAAAGAAAAAAGAAAAAAAAAAAAGATCAGAAGGAAAAAAAGAGCTCCCACTTGCATTCTTAAGAGGTTACCTACTTGGAGGGGCTGAGGTCATACTTTTCAGACACTGTTATCAATTCCTGAAACAACATTTTCCCTGAATTTGAAGTTCAGAATTATTGAGTTATACTCAACTGGTCTAAAGATATGCTCCTAGGGGAAAAGGGCATTTCTCACCAATGTGTTAGGAGAAGTTTTTATGATTATAAAAAAAAAGTCAAAATCTTAACTGTGCAAAGGATAGCAGAATTCTCTATAGCAGATTGCAGAGATGCAAATTATAGATTGGTCCCTGCAATTTCATAGTTGTAAAGTGGGAGCCAGATATTTTCTTCTCTATGCACATTCATTTATTAACTGGAAATGAAGAAAGTAAACCAATATATATATATATATATATATATATATATATATATATATATTTCTGCAAGGAGTTCTGGTATTTCGGACTGAAAAAGATATTCTTAATAAGATCCTAGTTCTAGGTATTCTTATTTATTCTGAGATGCCATCTTTGACGAATAGTTAGGTAGATATATACAGCATAAGGCACATATACATATCTTCATGTGTATCTATTTTGATACCTATCTGTATAAATATATATAAATTTGTGTGGATATCTGCAATTTTAGTCATATACAATTTCTATTAATTTACTGCTCTGACATGAGGTTCAATATATACTATGCATTTAAAATTTTCTCAGTTCTATTACCTGCAAAAGCTAGTATCAGAATTGTGAACAACTCCAAAATGCATATTTACTAGCTGTTCTGGTTTATTTTTAATGTTTGTTTTTGTTAACTTGACACAAGGTAGAGTTATCTGTGAAAAGGAACTTCCATTGAGAAAGTTCCTCCATCATATTGCCTGTAGGCAATCCTAGAGTACATTTTCTTGATTAATGATGAATTGAAAGGGCCTTGCACATTCGGGATGGTGCCACCCAAGGGCAGGTGTTCCTGAGTTGTGTAGGAAGGCTGGCTGAGCAAGCCATGGGGAATAAGCCAGTAAGTAGTTTCCTACATAGCCTCTACTTCTGGGTTCCAGACCTCACTTCCTTCTATTATGTAATGTTTTGTGAAATAGAATCTAAATAAACCCTTTCCTCTCCAAGTTGATTTTGGTCATAGTGCTTTTTCTTTCACAGCAGCAGAAACCCTAATTAAGACACTAGGTATGTGAAATACCTGAATATGGTATTTTTTGTCTCTAGCCTTTAATAGTTAGGTATTATTTCCCCAAGTTTACTGTATTCATGTTTCCTTGTTTATTGTTGCTATAGTGCTAATTTGTAATACAGGTAGAATTTTAAAATATATATATTTATTATTTTTTCTTATTTTACATATCAATCCCAGTTCCCTCTCCCTCCCTCCCTTCCATGTCCCCTGACTCCCCCCCCTTGTCCCATTTACACACCCCCCACTCCACAGGGAGGATGATGCCTTCCAGGAGAGATCATCAAAATCTTTCAAGTCATTTGGAGAACTGTCTAGGCCCTCCCTCTTGCCTCTGGAGAGGCTACCATAAATGATCTTCACTGATAATGAGATTGATAACTAACTTATATGCCGTCATAGAGCCCTCATCTAGTAGCTGATGGAAACAGAAGCAGACTCCCACAGCTAATCTCTAAGCCAAACTCCTGTAATCCAGTTGCAGAGAGGGAGGAGTCATAAGAAAAGGGGTCAAGACCAGGCTACAGAAACCCACAGAGACAGCTGACCTGAACAAGGGGGGATCTCATGGATCCCCAGACTGATATTTGGCAAACCAGCATTGTACCCACTCAGACCCCCTGAACATGGGTCTCAGTCAGAAGGCCTGGGCAGCCTAAGGGACATCTGACAGTGGAACCAGGATGTATCCCTGGTGCATGAAAAGACTCTGGGAGCACATTCCCCATGGAGGGTTATTCCCTTAGCCTACAGGTAGAATTTTTTGTTACAAGATCTATTGAGTTTTAATCGAATTCCTTAAGTTTTGTTATGCAAAGCATCAAGACATCTTTAGACTCAGACTATAGAGAAAGTATTTTTGCCTGTCACGTTTGCACTATTTATTTATTTTGTCTACTTATGTTTACTAGTTTCTTTTAGGTAGCTTATTTTAGGAGGATTTTGTATTTTGAGGGGTAGGCTCATAATCTGAGATGTAAGTTTATACTACAATTTTAAACTATCCCTTATGACCTTGCGACTATGCATCTCCTGCCTCATTTCCTTCCTTTATTTTCTCTCTTCCTCACCTACGTTCTCTAAAGAAAAAAAAAATGGCTTTATATGAAAGATCTGGATTTCAAGAAAAGAACATACCATAGCCCTCTCACATGTAGTCATTCATTCTCTTTTCTATGTTTCATTTCTTCACCCATTCCCACACTGGTTTGTTCACTTGAAAGTACATAATTAGCATGGTTATGATCTTACTTGAGCCAATGGCAATGTACTTTATGTAACTTATGAAAAAGGAGATGATATTTGCTTAGCATTCCCTTCAGTACAGACATTTATAGACTCACCATTGAAATTAACATTGCGGATATACTTCAACAACTTCTTTCCCCCTGCTTGCTCCATCTCTGGGCATACTCCCCGGTAATCAGCACACAGATCCTTATTCATGTGATGAAGGGCATGCGCCATGGCGTAGACAGCATCAATCACAAACTGAACTTTACCCTCCTGCTCATAATTGGAGTCTTTTCCAATTCGCTCCTGTCCTGCACATTAAAACAAGAAACACAGACAGATTCGAGTTGATTGGGAGTGCACATTTCCATCTGCTTTTGATCTTGCATGAAGATAATAAGTATCTGGGAAGACTAACAGTGCAAGCCACTTAGTCACCTGTGGTCATCATGTCCAATTTTTTTCTAATTTGGGAATTTTCTTTTAGAGACCTTCACATTGACTATTTGGATTTATGACATACAGCACAGAAGGACTTCAAAGGAGCACTGTGATGATGTCTTTTGTCATGAGCCAACATGGAACTTGGAGTAATGTGCTCTTACCACACCTGTTTCAGTTTGGAGGGAGTTGAGAGATCTATATTAAAATCTTTAAGGATTGTTTGCTCTGGAAGGGACAATGGTATCATGACAGACATAAACACACAGGTCTGCAAGCCTGAACTCTCATTATCTTTCCTGTACCTGCTTTCCTGTTGTGCTCCTGTGGTCATTACTGGAGACTTGGGTACTCAGAGCAGAAACTCTGGTCTTATTATTTTTATAACATTTCTCTCTCCCACTGTCTCTCACAGACAGATGCAATGTATGTCACAGTCTTACCAATTCTATCTCAGACAATACACAACATTTTGGACACACTACCAATATTTGTGTTTTAACATGTCTTGATCTTTTATTATAATGTGAGACTAGAGGTGTTTATTTAATGTTTCATTATTCATGTTTATCTCTGCAAATGGCAGAGCTCACAACCATACTCAAGACTCATTCAGAATCTCTTACCAGCTCCCCACTAACCACAGAATATATATTAAGTAACCCTCTTCCCCTGTTCACAATAGGTAGTCATTCTTCAGCTTGGCCCCATCTGCACAATCATGGTGACAGCTGACAAGGACTGTGTTTCCATGCACATTGGAAATACTTTTTATCTTTGTTCTGCTACTCTAAGTTCTACCCTCACTTGGAGAGTTACATAACCTACCTCCTTATTCAACTCATGGGAAACAATGGTGTGCTCAGTTTGTCATATCATAAACAATTGTATTATCATATTGACCTTCCTCCATCCTGTCTCCAGGTTTCTTTGTTTTTGTGTGTGGTGATCTATTGTTTATGATATAATAAAGCCACTGAAGACTGCAAAGCCAGCCACACTAGTTACCCATAGAAGCTGGGCATCAGTGGTACACACCTGTAATCTCATGACTCAGAAGACAGAGGTAGATGGATCTCTGTGAGTTCAAGGTTACCCAGGGCTACATGAAAGTGAATCAGCCTCAAAAAGGAACAGAGTTCATACCATTAATCCCATCACTAGAGAGGTTTATAAGGAAGAAGCAAAGGGCCTCGTGTGAGATTCAGTCACATGGAACATGTATCTCATTTCAGCCTTGGTAGAGGTAAGAGCTACTGGTTGGCTGCTTTGCTTCTCTGATCTTCATCTTTAACCTCAAAATATGTTTCTTGGCTTTTATTATTTGTGTTATAGGTGTGTGTGTGTGTGTGTGTGTGTGTGTGTGTGTACTTTTAGTATTCTTTTTAAATTTTCCTTTATTTTAGAGATTATAATATAATTTTAACAATCTCCCCTTCTCCTTCTTCTTTCTAAATTTTCCCATATACTCTCCTTGATCTATTTCCAATTCATGGCCTCTTCTTTCATTAATTGCTGTTATAGGCATATATGTATACACAAATATATCCTTAAATACAATGCAGTCACTTAATATAATGTTACTTGTAAATATTTTCAGGGATGACCAGTTGGTATTAGATGGCCAATTACTGCTCAGTTCCCTGAAAAAGAGTATTTTCCTAATCTCAGAATTGTGTATTTGCCCACAGTTCTTTATTGAGGCCTTGTGGATTTCTCTGTCTACTCTTACCTGTCTGTTGGTATTGTCCTTGTTTATGTTAATGTGACCATGCTATTGGGATTTTACTTATAAGGAGACATAATTAACAATAACCTTTTTCCATGTCTTCTGTACATCTGTGACCATTGTTAATTTCTCTAGCTTTGCTCACATTCTTTGACTTCCTTTGATAGGAAGTCCTTTGTCTGACTTTCATCCTTTATAGTTTAATTCTTCCTTCCTATACTTTGCTTGTTAGTCTTACCAAACATTACAATATTCTATTATATCCATAGGCAAAATATTATAAAGCTTCACTCATAGGCCTCTCCATGACAATTTATATTCCATCTGTCTCCATGGCAAAAAAGCACAGCATTTGAACATCTAGCAGATGTTCAAGACCTGTGTGTTATATTATGTAACAGGCCAGGTATCATTGGTAGGTGCCTGTCATCTCAGCACTTAGGAAGTAGAGGCAGGAAGTTCAACATTTTAAGACATTTAAGACCCTTTCTTTAAAAAAAATGTATGGATGAAAAATCATAAAATAGATTTTTTTAAAGTTTTTCAAAATTATATTCACTTTATGAGACCTAAAAGTCTACCTCCACAGTGAGACACCCACTCCAACAAGGCCACACCTCCTAATAGTGCCACTCCTTTTGGTGGCCATTTTTTTTCAAACCACCACTTTGAACAACCTTCATATCAATTGCTGATCTATACCAGTAAATTCCCCACGAGATGGGCTGCACCATTTTTCTGTGCCAATCACAAGATGGAAAATTTTTTGTTTCCTTACCACCCACCATGACAGTAGAAGACACTGCAAAATTTCAATATGAGTTCATTGGGTACAGGGCAGCTTCAACTACTGTTTTATATGTTATATTTCTTTGTGTGTATTTGTGCCATCTAAGTACATGTCTGGGTACCGACACAAAAGAGACAAGAGAAAGGCATCTGGAATCTTGCTCTAATATTTTCTGCCTTATTTTCTTGACCAGTATGCAAGATCTATTCTGGCAAACGTTGTGAAGAATGAATCCAAGTCTTAGTGTCTCTCTGGCTATTGTAACATTACCATTGGATATTGTTTTGTATTAAATATATCACAGTCCTGTTCTCCAGCTTGAGTATCTTTTGAATATACATTGTAAATTTACATGTAACTATGTCTATGTCCAATTTAAAATCTGCTTATTTGTTGTTTTCCACATACTAACAGTGAAGTTCAAGTTATTATGGCATGATAATATCTTCAAATAGCTTGCTAAGAAAGTTTTTGCCCTTTGGCTGGTGGGAAATTTGGTAGGAATAAGCTGACCTTGAACTTGGAGCAATTTTCCCAATTCTGTCCCAAACACTAGCATATCAGGTTTATGGCCTTGAATCTGACATTCCTGGTTATTCTCTTATATAATCTTTATTATCAGTGACCTAGCTCCAGAAAAAATAAATAAATAAAAGAACCGTTTAAGCAATCAGTAACAAAATTTAATCAATTTGTGTTGTTTAAAAAAATTTACCTTGGACAGAAACTTTACTAAAAGTGAGACATCCTAGGTACCATTTGATTAATTTGAGTATCTTTTGGTTATTTCAATAGTACTTACAATTGTTTTCTCCTAAAAGTTTTTCAATTGTTTTATATGAGTGTTTTGCCTGCATGTATTTGTACTACATGCATGCATAGTGCTCAGTGGGGCCAAAAGTGAGTATCAGAAACCTGGAAAAGAAGTTTTTGACATTTGTGAACTGTCATATGTGTGCTGGGATTGAACCTGGATGTTCTAGAAGAAGAGTCAGTGTTTTAATTTTATTTTTTTATTTTTTGGTTTTTCAAGGCAGGGTTTTTCTGTATTGCTTTGGAGCCTGTCCTGGAACTAGCTCTATAGACCAGGCTGGCCTTGAACTCACAAAGATACACCTGCCTCTGCCTCCTAAGTGCTGGGATTAAAGGCATGCATCCACCAACACCCAGCCATCCAGCAGTTTTAACTCCTGAGATATTGTTGTAGTTCCTCTGACTTAACTGTTAAGTGTTCCTTAGGTTCTGTCTCAGTGAGGGCAGATGGTTTTGCTGCTTCATATACAGCTTTTATTTTCCATGTATCTTCTCATTGGCTTTTATCTATGCATATGAAACTAATATTTCACCTAATTCACTGGATTCCAACTTTTTATTACAAAAATTTTAAACAGAAATCAAAGTTAAAATAAATTTAGAGTAAGTCTGGCAATTATATCTTAGCATCATTTTATTGTTGTAAGGCCATGTTTATTGTGCTAACATTACCATCTTATTTTATATGCCTATTCATTTTTAATATTAATTTTCTAACATGATACTTTGCAAATTTTTCCTGTTTTTATAGAACTCAAAAAAGCAATATTGGAGGTATTACAACCACTATAAACTCACACTATGAAATGACTTTAGTCCAATAATATAGGAGAACAGTTTCTAGCAAGCTTTAATATGGACATTTATCCCAGAAAGAACAATTTGAAAAATAATAGAACTGTTTTTGGTAATGAAATATTTTATTGCTGGAGAAATAGTTCAAGCTTTATGTCTTTCTTGGAGAGTCACCAGGTAAATTAACATATTAGAAGCTCTGGGAAGGCTTCAGGATTAGATTTGTAAGACTCACAGAACTTGAAAAACATAGCCTTGTTATAGGGAACCAGATATAGGGAGGTTATTTACCAACAACCAAAAGTATCAGGTAGATACTTTTGTGGCAAATGATTTTCCTACTGTGGCAATTGATTATATCACTGTGATAAAACAGTTTGAAAAAGACAGTTTAATAGAGAAAAGAAGTATGTTGTCTCAGTTGTAGAGACCAGTCTGTATGACCCCCTGTACTTGAACAATATATCATGGCTGATGAGGCCTGTGGCAGATAACAGGTAGTCCCATCAGGGTGATGAAGAGAGTGACAGAAAGTGACCAGGGATAACACACTCCCAAGAACCTGTTCATGGCAACCTTCATCCTCCAGCTAGGTCCCATCTTTCCAAGTCTCCAGAATTATACCAAAATAGCATCACAAACGGCACTACAAAATTGAAATGTAAGCCTATAGAGGTGGGGGGTGAGGTTTAAAATTTAAACCTCATCAGGCAGTTATGAGTATCTGCTAACTTTGAAGTCTT